ATCATATTTGATCTCTAGTTCCTTATTTTAGACGGTAGAAATGTTTGTATTATTTTTATGTAATTTTAATTTTTGTCTTTTATATTTAAGATGATAAGTCAACTGCAAATACAAAAACTCCAATTATAGAGGAAGCTTCAAATACAGGTTTAAAGTGTGTTGCAATTTTGCCGGGTATAGGTTGTTACCAGGATTCGTCTTCTGAAAATGACGACAGTTCAGATTCTGATGAAGAACCAACGCCATGTAGAAGAATAGATCTCCTAGGCCGAAAAATAGAAATAAAAGAAGGTAAGTATTTTTTAAATAACTAAGAAATAAAATGAAATCTAAGCCTAAAATTAAAAACAAAGATTCTGTTATCTGCGTAAATATCCGTATTAGCAGTTTAAGAGTTGTGTTGAGTAAGGTAATTGTCTAATAATGGGTAGGATTTTTACTATTTCCTTTTTGGGTATTGGCATTTTAATCCTGGTTTAGTCAAAAGCTGCAGATCTACAAATAACCTTACGACAGCTTTTTTTATAATCCAATGCTTTCTCACAAACTTGTCTATGAATATTGCATCGATAATTGCTATATTTTGTTAAAGGCTTTGGTTGTTCTTCGCTGATTATGTATTTGCCATTAATCTGTTTTTCATTCAGAAGATTGTACGATAATTGGTATGATTTTTACTATTTCCTTTTATGTGCCTAGTTAGTGTAATGTTGTGATACATGTTAATTATTTAAAATTTTCTGAAAAAAGTATGTCTATGTTTTTAATTATCTCATCCCCACCGTATTTTAAGAGTTCATTTGGTGTGCCATCGTGCCCTGGAGCTTTTCTGTTTTTTAATTTACATAGGCTCATGGGCGTCCACAGGGAGGGGCAGGGGGGGGCAGCTGCCCGCCCTAGAGAGGACGAGGCGAGTGTAAAATTGGTGAATAAGCAATATAGAAAAATACAAAGTTGTAACTTAATCTTGATTTTGAATGCAACCACTCTGTTTGCACATTCTACCTGGGACGAAAAAAACACATAAACTTAACAAATTCTATACAATTCTACATAATTCTTATTTATATAACTGACTATAAACTATTTCCGTTGAAGGAAATTTGGCCACTAGAAAAACATCTTATCAGTTTCATTCTGCGGCATGCAAGTCAGGATTTATTGTCGCAACCGCCTACAATCTGCGCAAACTAATGTTTTAAAGGTAGCGGAACATATTCGTCAAATCATGGATATTTTTAAAAAACACAGACAGAACGCAGAGAACGTAACGAACACTTTATTGCATGAAGCCAATAAGATAGCCGAAGAATGCGGTTTTGAATTATCTACCCCTAGAACTGTAAGCAAGCAACAGCATAGAAGCAATCAACCAGCTGATACGCCTACTGAATACTGGAGGCGATCCATGATTCTTCCGTATCTGGATTCTATCATATCTTCTCTAGAGACACGATTTTCCGAAGAAAATACGCCAGCCTTCGCTCTGAGTCTTCTGCATCCCAAGCATTTTCAAAAATTGATTTAAATTGCCTTACATGAGAACTGAGACAATCCTTAAACGACTATGAAATAGATGGAATAGATGCAGAGCTAGAAGTATGGGTAGAACACTGGAATAAAAAACTCCTTAATAATGAGTTAGATAACTTCAACACCCTTGAAATTTTAGAACTGGTTCGAGCCTTCTCTACTTTTTATCCGTTAACAAAAAAATTGCTGGAAATTCTTGTAACATTGCCTTGCACTACGTGTACAGTTGAGAGATCGTTCAGCAGTCTTCGAAGAATAAAAACGTGGTTGCGGAGTACAATGGTCGAAGACCGCCTTAATGGGTTAGCTCTAATGAGTATTCATCGGAAACAAATATTACCAAAAAAGGAAGAGTTTGTAGAGAAAGTTTTACAAGAATTTGCAATTGATCCGCGTAAATTGTTGTTTAAATAATAGTGTTTAGGAACAGACAATTTATATTGCTTCACAAATCGAAGGCTTATCCAGGAGGAAATAAACATGTTAAATTTGCATCACGTTTTTGTAAAAAGCATTAAAAAAGTTTTTAAATATTTATTATTATTAGTTTGCTATTATATTTAGTTTGCTTATTAAAAAATATTAACAATTCAGTAATAAGCAGACAGAAAATTTCATTAACCTCGATATAGTAATAACGCGCTAAGATAAAAAGTATTCACTTCGCAGTATTATTGTTTTTTCGTCTTCTTAGACATTAAGATGTCCAAGAATTAGTATTTCTTCATTTCTCTGCATCCTGTCTACTGCGTCTTGGAGACGATTTCACCTTCCGATTTGCTTGTGTCCTTAACTTAAATTGATATAATGTGAGTTTGCAATGAGTTTTCAATTTTTCGCAATCAAGGTCGTTTTCATGTTTATAGGACTGATTTATTTGACACTTTCTATGTCGTTTTGAAATTTTTCGTGGTAAAAACCCCACTACTGAACTTGAGTAAGCTCATTTGTCCTTTCCACTGTATATGAGTAAAAAAAGACTCTTTAGCATGAAAGCAAGTGGACGGTCACCAACTTGGTGGACTGACCAAATCCGGCATTAAACGAGCCGTTTATTCTGCGAAATACTTACGCCAACTGAAGATAGGAAACACTGGAAGCATCTAGTTGACTTTATTAGTGAAAATGACGATCCTTAACAATGGTGTAACGAAGAGAAAGAGTTTCCTTTTTTTTTAGTTTTTCAAAGTGCGCAGATATCGATTTTGTGGGTGGTCATTTCTATCAGTTTCTCTCGATCTGTTCTTATTCATGATTTAATATTCTATCGTGCTAACCGTAATTTGGTATTCTTTGTCGTAACCCTTTTCCCTGCTGAGGTCGTCTTCAAATTGTTCTGTAATGTATCTATGGCTTTATGGTCGGTTCTATGAACGTGTTTGTTTTTTTACCAGGCAGGTTGCTGGCTCCACCTTCTAACCCCCATACTTTTGATATCTAGTTTAGAAATCTTCCTCATAGAAAAGTTTAAATAAACTACATAAATATAGAAACATTTTTTGTCAATTGTTAATGCAATTTGGCACAGCCACCTTTACTTCCAAGCCATGAAGTAAAAAAGGCAACACCGCATTCTATGACGTCGGTAGTCCGATAATCAGCTGTAAGGTCTACCAGAATATTAAACTAATTTGAATTTTAGGAAACTGATATTTTGAAAACTTCAATTCATTACAGAAATATTTTTAGGGAAATTAAATTAATAAAACCTTATATATACCTAGTAAATATATATAAAGTTTTATTATTATTTAGGTTATATTTTCAATAAAATAATCACTAGAGTAAAATTTATTGCACTTAAAATACAGTGTCAAACAGTTAATTTTACAATCAAATACAGTCAAGAATCTCTAGAAATTTTAAAACACAAAAACTTAGTGTAACTATTATGATTAAAAAATTCATCCTAAGAAATCAGACACAATATAAATATGGTTCTAAATTAATCTAAGTAATTGAAAATTAAATATTTTACTATTTACTTATAACTTTTGTTGAATTTTCATACTTAGATATACAAAAGTAGCAATTTTAAATATGAATAGGTTTGTTGTCATATAGACCAAGTTAAAAGAGGTATACATGAGAAATGTGTTGAATGTAACATACCATTTATAACTTGTATATCGATTTAAAATAGCCCATATTCTCAAAAGATTTTTGAATGTAATACTCAAATTTGTTATCACTTATCTAAAAAGCAGATCTAAATGAGAAAGTAAGTTCTCTAATTGTGACCATCTTGTTAATTTACTGTATTGTAAAATCCATTTCAAATCATTACCACTTAATCTATTCTTACCTACATTGACGATTACACTAAAATTACTGCTAACTATTACACTACATATTACACAAATATTATCACACTTGTGTCCCAACTGATTAATGTTTAATACATAGAAATATACACAGTCACTTGTAATTTTACTTGTCCAGTTTTTCAATGGGATATTATTGTCTAAGTCTAATTGACATAATTATGTTATCTCTTGTTCCCTCTTCTTATGCAAAAAGTTTCTTCTGTCTTCGGGATTCCTTCTTTCTTTAGTACGATGAACAGTTACATATGATGGTACTTCAGGAAATATATTAGGAACTGCATTGCCTTTTAATTTGGGAAATATTAACTTTTCAATGTGTACATTTCCATCTTTATCTTCTCATTGTTTAGTCCGCTGAATATCATCTTCATGAAAATGTTTGGCACATACTACGGAAGATTTGGTAATTGTACAGCCTTCTCTATGAATAGAGCATAACCCAGTATACCTTCTTTGGGGATCTTTGGGAAACAAAAACGTACTTTCTGCATGTTTCGTTTTTAAAGTACTGGAATAATTGGTTTTGCAACCAGGTACACAACAACGCCAGAGCATCTGTAACAAAAAACAAAAGTATTATTATTGTTGTTTTTAGTTTACATATTTTGTAACAAGAAGCAAAAGTATTATTATTTTCAGTTTGTTTTGTAGGTTATATTTATACTTGCCTTTTAAATTGTCGTTAACAATCTTCTAAAAGTTCTAAATTTAATGAAATTTCACTTATATTAATATTTTCTAATTGATGTAAACACAATTTACAAATAAAACATTCGAATAAAGTTAAAAAAACAATAAATTCAACAAACTTTACAAGCCTTCCTATATGAAATGTTAAACCAAAACAAACCACAGTCGGACTACCACGCGTTGTTGCCAAATTTCTACTTCATGGCTTGGAAGTAAAGGTGGCTGTGAATTTGGCAATTTTCAATGAATAATTCATTTTTAAAATCTTAAAATGATTTTTTTGTTGCAGCTGAAAGCAAAATAGCCAGTAATTTGAGTGGCAAGGAAATGTACAGAAATAAATTTTCACCACTTGTAATTTTTTTAATGAACATATGTTATGTTGTATGCGCAATTGTATTTATAGAATATTAAAAAATGGCAAATATTAAAAAATAGATAAAATGTTTAATTATATGTTTTTTATTAACGATTTCTATATTTTTCCGTTTTTTTTCTGACTTTCGACCAATGGAATGAGTAACACCGAGTCTTTTCCTACCGTACTGCTTAGCTATACGTCGCACCGATACACCTACGTATTCTAATTTAAGTTGTAGCGATTATATTTGCTTACCACATTGGGTATCATTTATAGATGGTCGAAACTGGGGACAGAAGATACTGGGCTGGAGATAGGGTAAGCTAACAAACCGTAACGTTTGCTAACGGCTACTCTTGGTTTGATTGAGGAGCTGGGTCGTAAGTAAGTGAATAAAAGGGACTAGAAAGGGGTAACTACAAAGGAAGAAAATATCGAAAAGTATTTACATAGATTTCCTGGGTACTTACATAGAAGGTTCCGAAACTATTTAAAAAAGGACGCCATTTACAAGAATCTTCCTGCTGTATGGAGAGATAGGCTTTTCTTTCCTAAACAATATAAAAGGGTGAGAATCTCTTTAAAGGAAACAATACTACACTTGGTTTAGAGATAAACATCACATATTTATTATTACTTCACCATAAACAGTTAATACAAATAAAATTAACAGGATTTAAAAACAACTTACAATGGTGCCATCGGTTCATAACAAACTCTAGACGTTGGAGACACTATAGGAATTTAAATTATTATTAAAATGAAAATATCTACATTTTTCAAGGGAGCTTACATTGAGGTTAAAAACAAAATAATTTAAAATTTATGGTTATGTCGAATGTCCGAAGAAGACAATACTAACTGTCATATGTCGAAATTAAATATTAAAACTTTCAACTTTTTGAAATATTAATTAAATTTCAATATAAAAGAAGAATGATATGACAATCAGCCAATACATAAAACTTGTAATTTATTTAGTACAATTTTTTTACTTGTCATGGAATCATTTTTTTTTTTTATTTTAATGAAAAATGTCATTTTTACTTGTTAAAATTTTAAGAACAAGTACCTTCTATCACTGGCTTATGTATTTCCTTTAAGACATTGTTGGGATTAAAATTGGATTGAAGCACTGCAAAAAAAAAACAAATGTGTCTCACTCAAACTGCAAAATTCTCTGAAATGACCAGGGAACCAAATAGACGATTCTTTGGAAGTTGGGCGCTGGATTCGGGCCTCGGATTATCTTGTTGCAATCTTCAAAAACTGGGCCACCAAGTTCTTGCTTGAAACCATATGGACCTCTTAAATTGTTGTAACGCTGTTTTACAAATCTCCCACATTGGACACAACACATACAACAAATCGGTGATTAATTTAACAAAACTGACTCATTGCCTTTGATTAAATTTATAGGCTATTCCACGAATATACGACTGTTTTGGTTTACTGCGACAACGAATATTTTACTGTGCAAGTAGAAGTATGAAGGTCAATTGGTCTAATCATTATTCCAATAAAAAGGGTCTACTAGTATGACATCTAAACTAAAATTATTTCAGTTAAAATCTACAAATAAATACAATGACGTCTATGAAGCCAAATGTGTTCATCAGACATTTGGGTAAGCTTTCCGTGAAATGTAAACACCAAAGAGGCGTGCCGGGTTTCTTTGATATAACACATTTTATTACTTTATTAGGTATTACAACTGTAATAAAAAGAAATATACTATTTTTAATATAAATGAAAAGAAATTGGCAGAACGATGGTTCACAAACCAGAAAAAGGATCTAATATTTCACTTTGTTAGTTTTAAATATTTGTTTGCTTTGAGTTTATGTACTCTTAAAAGTTCCGAAAGTAACGGGTATAACATACCGGCTATTGATAGTTAAAGTACCGAGTCGTTACAGATATTAAAAAGTAACGAAAATTTATATACAGTTTCATATATCGCCGACTGATTATGGCTGTGAATCTGATCGTTGATGATAGTTTTAGAAGATTAAGAGAATAAGTGAATAAGTAAGTTTTTTTGTTTTTTTTTTAATATTAATTGAATATTCGACTAAAAAATTTACACTATTTGATCACTTAAGTATTGTTACATTTCGTTTAAATCACATAATTCAAAAACCAACTTGTTTACAATGAAATGATTGAAATGAAAAAATAAACTCCATGATAGTAATTATATACTTCAAAATCTGAATTACAAACTGTTTTATAAACTATTAACTTTATATTTATATCATGACTTCATATTTAAATCTAAGGTTTATATCTGTCGTAACAGTATTTTAAAAATGGGGAGAATTTACTATTGTACAATTCAGTACATTGGACCATTTAAATCGACACCTTAAAGCGAATTTAAAACAGTCGTGTATTCGTGGAATGGAGTATACCTCTCCACAATAGAAATTTTGCTGGCTTTTTTAGATTGCACACGCCACATCTTTTCCTTTCAAGATTTTAATCCCAGCTTAAACTGTAACTACACTTGACTTTACACTGTATTTCCATGACAAAAACGAAAAACAATAACGAATTTGATGAAAATCCGGACTAAACGGTGAAGTGAACACTTCAACGATTCATGTGGAGTAATGTTGTGAGTGAAATATTTCGTTCTTTTAATACATACAGGGTGATTTGAAATGCTACAAAGTACAGATCAATTTTGGATTTTATACTACTTTTAATTTTTTGTTTTTTCTTGCCAGCGATGAATCCATAAGCAAGACCTTCATAATAAAGCGAAACAGAAATCAAGAGTTGGCATTACCATGAGCTCCGGATTAATACCCTGCATTTCAGAAAATCTAGAACTTTTGAGATAAAGCATGGACACAGACAAGGACCAAGGCTTGCCAGGGAAATCCATATTGCTTGGAAAAGGTAGTCCCAGACACACAAATTAGAGACGGCGGTACTATTTACAATAGATCCATACAAATCTTAGCATACGCTGATGACTAATAGGGCGTAGCAAGCGAGATGTTGAGCAATACTTCCTAGAACTGGAAAAAGCGGCTGAAAAAGGTGGGTCCAGGCATCAACGAAGACAAAATCAAGTACATGTTGGTTACTAAGGATTCTATAACAAATGAGGAATGAAAAACAATATTTGGAGGTCCTATCTTTAAACACAACTTTAAATAACTTGGCTCGCTAGTGACTACCAACAAAACAAGCGAAAAAATTAAAAGACGGTAAACCTTACAAATAGAGCATACTATTGATTCCAAAAACCATTCCACTCTAGAAAAATCTAAAGTAAAATTATTATATACAAAATACCGCCGAGGCCGGTCGTTATACAGTATAGGTAAAACTTTATGGTCGGTATGGACCTTACATGAGATGGAGTGAGAAACAACTGTTTAAAAAGAGAGAGATATATTAGGTGTCCGCCTTTTATATCACCGAACATAAATGAGTGGATATGGAGTGGATATAATAAAAAGGGGAAATTCAATGTTGCCAAACTTATTGGTTTTATTTGACCTGTTGTCTTTTTCGCATTTGAACAATGCTCCAAGATAATGAAATTTGGGCGAAATGGATTTAAATGGCAGCTTATTGTTTTTTATTGGGAATATGTCACAATTTTACTTTACAATAAGTGTAATATATCATTTTGATTTATACTTCGGAAATCGTTTTATATAAATAAAATTTATTAATGTTTCGTATTTTAAAAACGATTTCCGAATTAAAAATCTAAACATCAAAATAAGCTTATTTTAAAGTGACATTATGCCTTATTTCCAATAAAAATATTAAACTGCATATAAATAAAAAAGCTTCGTACAAAACTATTTGCCAACGTGGCGTGTCGCGTGGTCAAATCACCGAATCAAGGGGTACACAGGTATTTACGAATAGAGGTGGGTCATTGACGTCGCAAAACCGATTTTCGTAAACAAGTAACTATGATTTTTTAATAGTAGTTTCAAGTAAGAAACTACCTACATAAACAAACATAATGGCTATTATCGTTTATGTGTATATTTATTGAAGTGAAGGAAACTAATAAAAGATTTTATTATAATTTGAAAACTAAACTAAACAATACAAATAGTAAATCGTACCTACGTTTACATTACACGTTATTATTAAATCACGAATCGCCTAAATTGACATTTAAAAACATAAGTTTTTGTACTTTACTTCTTATTAACCGTGTTTTTCTTTTATTTAAAATTAAACCTGATTTTGTACATGTGTTCACATTTACAATACTTTATGAATATAGTGGTTAAGTTAGGAGATACATGGCGATGGTTTTTCCACCATTGTAATGGACTCTCGCTACAGGTGTACGTTTAGATGAGTCATGTCCAATTAATTGATCAAAAATACACCGTGGACTTAAGTCATCTTTATCGGTTTCTTTTTCTTATACTGGTTGATTTTCAATAGTATAATCTTCTTGTTCTTTAATTATAGAAGTAACCAGCTTCTTAACTCTTTCTTTTGTTTTTTTAGCGTCATTTTTATCAGAAAATCCCTGCACTTTAAATCGTGAATCCATAAACGTACATAATGACAATATGCCACTGTATTCTATCCCTCTAAATCTTTTTGCTAAAAAAGAGATTAGTAATTATCCCGTAATTAGTAATAAAAACCCGTACTACGTCGGATACTATGGATGTAAGGTTACTGTTTGCTAAAATTTTATTGCAAGATTTTTGCAGGCAGGGTACCAGAACAATCACTGAACTATCATTCAAGTATTTTTGGCCACTCATTGTACTTGTTATTTCTTTAAAAGACCGTAAAATTTGGGACAATTACGAAAAAATAATCTAGTCTTCATTATTTAGATTTGGTCTAAGTCTAAGTCTGTATTATTTAATACCGATGTGGAACGGAAATACACGCCAGTACACCGAAAATATCAAAATACAGAGAGGAGTCCGCCAGGGTTGCGTGCTGTCCCCACTACTTTTCAATGTCTACAGTGAAGCGGTATTTCAAGAAGCGCTCTCAGACTCAATAGAAGGTATATCTATCAATGGAGAAGTTTTGAATAACTTACGTTTTGCAGACGATACAGTAATAATTACGGATA